CCTCATTGTGTCATCACTCCAATCATTTTCGATCTGATGATGATGATAATAACAACAATAATAATGATGATGATGATAATAACAATAATAATAATAATAATAGAAGCAACCTACTAACATGTACATCTGCAGGAACTGATATTTCGATTGAACAAAAATAGAAGGAAGAGAGTGGAGAGCAGCTGTGAATGTGGTCGATCAATTAATCAAACAATCAATCGATCAATCAACCAATCGATCAATCAAACAGCCAATCATTTAACCGACCAGCCAATCATTCAACAGTCCAGTTCATTACTCAACCACCCAGCCAGCCAGTCAGCGAGCCAACCAACCAACCAATATGAACAGTTTCCATCAACAATCCGACCGCATGTCCCATCAGCATGAGCTTTCCGAGGTGGGTATCGACAGGGAGCATGCCGACAATCCTGCCCAATCCCGTTATCAATCCGTCGTGGGGGTCCAGGCATCTGGCGTCCAATGAACCTTCCTTCAAGTAGGCAGACCAACGACGATGATCATGCAAGTCAGTGATGGAGGTGTTGATCAATCAATCAACTAGCCAATCGATCAATCAATCATTATTTCATTCATTCAACCAACCAATCATTCAACCAGTCAACTGGCGAACCTCCTTAAGAGCGAGTATAGTATTTTCAATGTTGCTGAGTTTGGGTGGAGTGATGCACGTGGCCAGCAGTGCAATGGGTTTGTCCATCTCCAGCAGTTTCGCTTTCAATATCAACTGCTTCAATGGTGAACGCTGTTTTGTGGTGATAATGACGATGATGTTGTAATGGCGAAAATTCAAATGTCTTAAAACTTTTTTTATCAGCATTCTTTTTCACCTCTTCCTCATCACCATCACCACCATCATCATCACCACCATCTTCACCATCATCACCATCAAAACCCAACAGTATTTCAGGAATCTCGAAGTTAGGAAGCTGTTCAAAAAATTTGAACCAGACCAATCTGTATACCGTTCCATTCGTTACCCTGCCTGCCCTACCTACAATGATGATGATGACGACGATCATAACGATGATCATCACCACGTGGTGGTGATGATGGTGGTCGCAATGATGATGGCGATGATGATGGGGATGATGCTGATGAAGATGACTAGTTTGAAAATACACAACAGAAAGGACAACACGGTGTAAAAATATAAAATTCAATGTAAAACAATGAAAAAGATTTTTCGTCTTCATCATCCTCATCACCATCATGATCATCATTCCCACCACCATCATGATCATCAGGACAACTGACCCATCCTCTGATTGCAGTTCCCCTTGGAAGCCCACTCCAACTTGAGGCTCGTGTAGTTCGTTTGGACGTTTGTCGATAGGGATTTCGTTAGGCAGAAATCGATCACTGCATGGTGATGATGATTAAAAAAATGATAGTAATGATCATCATGATCATCACTACCAATGACGTCACCAACGTGCCAACTCACCGTATTTCACATCTGAAACTGTTATTGAACTTTCTGCAATGTTTGTGGAGAGTATAACCTGTTTGACGACGATGATGAGATGATGGATGTACATTGTACAACTGCCGTACATCATGCTAAATTATTATCAACAAAAACATCATTTCATCACCCTCGCCATTTCTATTGCCTGCTTAGTAATCACCATCAGCATCATCACAATCACCATCATCGTCATCACTACCTTCATTTTATCTTTCGGACATTTTCCAAAAACTTTCATTTGCTCATGTGACGGAATCATGGAATGCAACCTATGTAGCACCAGCCTGGTACATCAACATAATTCATTTATTTATTCATAGGCACAAAAACGTTTCTCAATAATTTATTCACAACGCTACTCAGGGGCGGATCAGTTAGTAGAAAATGTCGGATTTGGTCGAGTCCATTCGGCCGAAATCAAAAAACGGATCGCAGTGAGATGCTCTTGTAATTTTGGTCATCACGACCCTAGCCCTTGCATTTATAAAACGAGATAACGAGGCCTTCCAGGAAGAATAAAGGAACAACTCTGTTTCATAAATGACACGCACAAAATCGCAGCGATTCATCAACTATTAAAATCGATAAATTTCAAAAACACAAGTACGTATAAAATTAACGATATGGAAACTTTTTGTTAAATTTGTCAGAATTCAGAGAAAAGCGTGTAATTTAAATGAAACAGAGCCTGAGATTTCTGCGGTGTGCAACGATAAACTACAAAACGACACTAATGATCGAGAAAATTGAAAATGTTTCATGTGAAATCCGTTAAAAACTTTCTAAAATACATAGAAATTTCGAAGATATAAAAAATATAACGTTAAAACATGAATATTTTTATTTAGGTGACATTGACTTTAGAAAGAGTTGGACAAAGATAGATGATGAACTGCTAATTTTAATTGTTGAAAAGTAGGATTTATAAAACTCGAGTAACTCGTTGTTAACTGTTGCATTGTCTTTTCAAACATTCAACACTTTTAACTATCATTAATTAACTATTAAATAATCACTCATGTATAGAGACATGGGCATAAAACTCGCATAGATGAACAAACTTGATGGATCCTCTCCATGATTTCTATGCATATGTATGTTATCTGCTAATGCATTACTGCAGTTTAAAACTGCATTTTATTCACCCGGTATAAAAACGCCTAAATTGTTATTTGAAAACTTTACCTTTAATTCTAACCCAACACAAAATCAGAAAGAAATTCGCGTAATCTGTAAAAGTGAATTAAATTAATTATGAATTCAACAAAACAACAATGAATGAAAGCTGTAGCTGATACTTTTGGCTGTTAAAAATATTTGTTTTGGCAGCAATATATTTGAAAAAAGTGAGGACCCAAGCTTGGCGGTTTGTCTGGAGACCGCTTGTTCCGACCCTGCATAAACTGATTAAGTCTGATTCATCATCGTGAATATTTAAAACATTCATGACATGACCCAATTCTATCTAACCCATATTCATCTACGTAAGGTTCCAGCATTGCCTTCATGCTTTCAATGTCATCAAATCCTTTTTAGATAATAATAATAATCCGTTATTATTACAACTATGAAAATCAAATTTTTAAATAAATTGAAAACGGATTTGAAGTTTACAAAAAGTTTGATATCACATTTCAAATTTTAGAAAACATGTGCTTAATTTAATATATCATCATCATCATCATCATCGACAACATCATCATCATCATCGACAACATTATCATCATCACGAACCAGGGAGGAAAACGAGTGCAGAGCCTCTGGCGTCACTGTTAAAAAACATTTAAAAACCATCATCATCATTATCATCACAGTAATCATCATCATCATCACAGTAATCATTATCACATTGTTACTGTCATCATCATCACCACCATCGTCACCAGCATCACTATTATCATCATTATCATCATCATCAAAATCATTAGCAGCTGTCCTCTTCAATATAGCAAACTATTATTGTAGAAACAATAATTATATCAAGACAAAAAAAAACAAATAATGAGTAATAATGAGTAATAATTATGATAAATTATAATGATGAAATGTACTTGATTTGTTTGTTGTAGAATGATAGGATGATGTTGACAGCCAGCTTCATGGCCTCTTCACGCAGTTCGGGTTCATTTATGTCGGTCATCTCTGGTAGCTGGTTGTCATTGTGATGATGATGATGACGATGATGATGAAAGTAGTTGTGATGATGATGATATCACGCAACAATGTTATAGTTGTTGAAAAAGTAAGAACCATTTCAATACAAATTATTCAATGCCACATCAACTTCATCTCCATATCATCACGACCACCACCATTCAAGTTCCCATATAATGATCGGCAGCAGCACCTTGCCCATAGTCTTGAGATCATCGAGGTACATCTGTTCGACGGTGTACGTCCGACCAATCACGTTGATGACACGGGGCTGTTGGATCATGTGAGTTCTCGCGTCCACGTACCCGAAATAATCTCTATACACAGACACATCCATTGTTGCCGACATCAATATCACCTGTTTGCAGTTGTTTGTTGATGTAATGCAATAATAACTCGTTGATGCTGGCGATTGTTGATGTAATGTGATGTAATAATAATAATAATACAAACATAAATCCAGCACATCCTTTTAGAAAACTGACCTTGACATTGGGACATTTCTCTCTCAGTAGCTTTCTGACTGTGAGCATCGTGAAGTCCATTTCTTGTGATCTTTCGTGCACCTGTAACAAGATGCAAGAGTTTGTTTCTGTATGTTCGTGACGCCATCTATGACGTCATCATTTACGTCATCATCATCATCATCATCATCATCATCCTCACCTCATCCAGAATAACGTGCGTATAGTTATCAATGGTTTTCGCAGTGATGAGTTTCTGGAGAAGGACACCGGTCGTACAGAAAAGCAGGCATGTGTGATCACTTGATACATTCTCCAGACCCACCTGCAACCAACACATTCGTGCCTTTAATATTCCCTTTAACAAAAAAGTTAAATGAAAAACGAACAAAATTCAAAACCAACTAAGCAAAGAGTGCTTTTTTAATGTTGTTCTCATTGAACGACCAACCTGATAACCACAAAGCCCTCCAATCTCCCAACCGTTCTCTGCACAAACTCGCTTGGCAACACTGATGGCAGCAATCTTTCTTGGCTGGGTGACGACGATGTTGCAATGCTTCAAATATTTCATGTGCTGAAACAAAATGAACTGTGGGACTTGAGTTGACTTTCCGCAGCCTGTCTCTCCTTGAATCATTACTACCGGGTTTTGCTCTATCGTCTTTATGATCTTTGATTTTGATGGCACGGGTTAGAGTTGATAAGTTGAATTAAATGTATAGTTGCACCAAATGTATATTTAGTTAGTGACACTATTTTCAATTTTATAAATATGAACTCACAATATAATTCATATTTAAATATTATTTTCTGAATAATTTATTAAAATTAAAACATTGAAAATGAAAAAGATCACAAAAACTGAATTAGTGAAGAATGTGGGTGGGGGAACAAGATAACCTCATCCTGATGTGTAGAGATAGTGAAGTTAGGATCTGGTTCTAATTTGACTGAGTAAGCATTATAAAGAGCATCCAACTCTTCCAAACTCAACTGAAGAACTGAAGAGGGGCATGATGAATTGTCTGGCCTCTTGGACCCCCCTGCATGACCGACTTCACTTTCCAATTCCTCCAAGCAACTTGATTTGTAAGTTGTTGATTTACAATCACTAATTCTTGATTGCTGAAAATGAATTTGCAAAAGAAGACAATTTCTTTTTAATAAAAAGAAAAAGTTTCTATAAAATATAAATTATTTAAAAAAATAAAAAACAAATTTCGGCAAACTAATTAACAACTAACTCTGGTGAGCCTTTCTTCCTCCATTCTTTGGTATGGCTCTGCATAATTCACATTCCTTTAATTTTGATTGAAAAAAGTTACATCGTTTTTGTTTGTTACAAAAAAACTTTTCAAATCTACCAGCATCATTTAATTTATTTTATAGTTAATAACTCTTAGAAAGTGTTTAGTCAAGTGTTAACTACATGAACATAGTTATCAACATGATAAAAAAATAAAATAAAAATAAAATTTATGGTTTTTTTTATTAGAGAGAAAATTTACATAATTTAGTCAACAGGATTAGTGAATGAAATAAACAAAAAATTTGGAAACCTGGGTGATTCTAGCAGGCCAGCGTGAATGATGTCACCAAGCATTTCGTTCTCCAACTGTTTTCTCTCTCTTTTCTTTTTCTCCAAATTTGATATGCACAATGTAGTAACTTCAGTTCTTTTATTCTCGTAAATATCTTTCCATTGCTGTGCGGTGACGTTGACGGGGATTCGCTTCTCCCAGCTGCCCATCCCTTTTGTTCACTAACAACAAATCGCTAAAAAAATCAGTGACGCCTATAAAGTTAGATTAGTAAAATTATTTACTTCAGGAAAGTCAGCAATGACAACAGCATAGACTAATGACATTTTCAAACTTTGAAGTGATTCATTACGCTTAGTTGCCAAACGTGAATTCTCATTTTAGTTTTCCTACCATTAAAATATCCATCATGATATATACATTTACATTGTTACTTCTTTTCTTATATTTATAAAAAAAATATTCATGTTCAACGTATCAACAAATCTCAAATTAATATTCCGATAATTCAGTCGATAGGCAGGCGGTGAATAAAAACTGATTTATTTGTTTAATAGGATAATCAATTTGTAAATGATTGTTAAAGGATTGTTTCTACATTCTAGCAGTTCAAAATAATAAGTTTCTAGTTATATGTATCAAACAGTATCTTATTGAACAAAGTAGTATCATAAAATGAATAAAGATACTTTTCAAAAATTTAAAAAGTTCTCAATTTGATTTCATTGCGATATTGATGATGATTATGATTTTGGTCCGACTAATTAAAAAACATCAAATAAAATTTATTAAATAGGATGGGTAATTCGTTGCGAAACCGTTGGAGGAAATGACGTCATGTTAACAGTAGTTATTTTACTGGATGGTAGTTAATCAGCCTGTATAAAGGTTATATTCAATTCCTATCAAATAAATTTGACCAAATATCATACGCAGGCAAAACTAAATAAAGAAATAAATAGATAGATATACGTAGTTATAAAACTTTTATAATGTTGTATTTTGTATGTTGTATAAAACTTTTATAATGTTGTGTTTTGCCTAAATATAGAAACTAAAACTAAAACAGGCAAAACTAAATATAGAAATAAATAGATAATTATACGTAGTTATAAAACTTTTATAATGTTGTATTTACACATTCAAACTGTACAATTATGTTATGGTGTAGTCTCAAATTATTTTGAATTCTCTCAGATATATATATGTATATATATATATATATATATATATATATAATATATATATATATATATATATATATATAATATATATATATAATATATATATATATATATATATATATATATATATATATATATATATATATAAGTACTTAAAATCCATGTATACAAATAATTACAAAGATTATATGTTTAGATAAAAAGAATTACAGCAGTTCCAATCAGTCAATCGGAATATTTCGAAGTTTGAGTAGCTCTGTTGTCAAGAATGCACCTATATTAGTGTATTACATAAAACCAAAAATCACTAGCATTATTAAATCAATAAACTTTTTACTGATGTGAGATTGAATAATATATAAAAGAAATGAAATAAAGACAACATGCTTTTTGGATAACCTCAAGAACAGCATTACTACTACTACTACTACTACTACTACTACTACTACTACTACTACTACTACTACTACTACTACTACTACTACATATTTTTATTTTTCAAATGTTAGGTGAAAAAGGAGCGATCTCAATATTAAATTTGAATTCAACTAGATAAGTCTGTACTGTGTAAACGTTCTCAAACAATCCCATCAGGAAGTCAGTAGGCGGTCGTTGAATTCATTTTAGTATAGTTAATATATTGTTGTTAAGGACCTATAATAATAATTCATATACATTAAATAAAGTTTTTTATTGATGTCAATAATTGAAATGATAAGAATATATGAATGGAACTGGTATAAATAGGAGCCGAAAATGCATTGAAATCAGATCAGGCGCTTTGTACCATTGTCTTAGCGCCTGGTCTCATTTTTTTATTTCTTTATTTATATTTTCTATATTTATTTAATTTATTTATTTTTACTATATAGAGTTATATAGAGTTATATAGAGTCTGCGCGGTTATATAGAGTTATATAGAGTTTGCGCGGTTATATAGAGTTATATAGAGTTTGCGCGGTTATATAGAGTTATATAGAGTTTGCGCGGTTATATAGAGTTATATAGAGTTTGCGCGGTTATATAGAGTTATATAGAGTTTGCGCTGTTATATAGAGTTATATAGAGTTTGCGCGGTTATATAGAGTTTGCGCGGTTATATAGAGTTTGCGCGGTTATATAGAGTTATATAGGATTTGCGCGGTTATATAGAGTTATATAGAGTTGCGCGGCTATATAGAGTTATATAGAGTTTGTATGTTTGTCTCTGGTTTGTGTGTTTGTATGTGGTATTTTTTTTTATTTTAGGTGGGTTCTTTAGCGGTTGCTCATACATACATTACATACATCATGTTTGTTTGTGTGGTAGTATTTTATGTTCTGTTTTACTCCTTGTTCTCTTTCTTCATGAGTCTTAGTTAAGTTAGTAAAACATAGGTAGGTGAGATTAAAAATTAATTTATTATATAGGTAGGCTAGGGCATAAGGTAATTTAATTACATAGGTAGGTTAGGGACTTCTATTCTTTTACTCTACTTTGTGGTGTGTGTTTTGTGTTTTTGTTTTGTTTTGTTTCACACCATACATTCAGCAGGTACGCGGTGGTTCCTGGTTTTAGTGGGATTTTTATTTATTGATTGTAGTATATATTTTTTTTTCTTACAGGTTTTACTCTCTACGTTTTAGTCTTTCTTTCTATTTTACCATTTTTATTTTTATTTATTTAAGATGCGTCATTTAGCCCACCTACTCAAACACACACATTACATTAGGTAACTATATAGGTAAGTTAGTTAGGGGTAATTTTATTTGTAGGTAGGATAGATAGGAAACATCCAACTCTAATGTAGTTGAATAGGTAGGTGCGTAAGTTTATCGCTTCTATTTTTTCTTGCACCCACATTACACGCATCAGCGTATTACACACACACACACAAATACATACAAGCACATACGTCAGTATTTGAGCGTAATTTTATTTTCATTACACATTCTAATTTATTATTACTAAGGTTGAGAGTAATTTAATTTCATAGGTAGTTAAGGGCAATGATGTAATTCTAAGAACAATCTTGTAATGTAAATTAAATGTTGTAAGTGTATCGATAGGTAGGTTAATTATTAAGTTTAAATTATTATTAGGTTGGAGCCCAAGGCATTATGTAGGTGGTGGGGTGGGGCCGATTGGCGAATGAATTGGGCTCTTGAGTATTATAATTTTAGGTAAGCTAGGGCCATAATGTAATGAATAGGTAAGTTAAGGCTACGTTGTACACACATACTCATTAATAGATTTAGGGTTTAAGTTTTATTTTTTTTTTACTAAGTTGGAGCCCAAGGCATTATGTAGGTGGTGGGGTGGGGCCGATTGGCGAATGAATTGGGCTCTTGAGTTTTGTAATTTTAGGTAAGCTAGGGCTTAATTGTAATGAATAGGTAAGTTGAGGCTTAGACGTTATTAGCTAAGGCACCTGAATAGGTAGATAGGATTATTTATATAACTAATTTGAGACGCGTGCACTTATTATTAACCCCCTCATGAACGGCTGCCTTGACGTGGCGAGGGGGCTTCTCACTAAATGCCGTTCACTTTTTTAATTCTTTTGTTTAGAAAGTTCTATAATAATTTAAGACGTAAGTTTATCGCTTCTATTTTTTCTTGCACCCACATTACACGCATCAGCGTATTACACACACACACACACACACACACACACACACACACACACACACACATACACACACACACACACACACGCACACACAAATACATACATAAACACATGTATTAGTTTCTGAGCGTAATTTTATTTTCATTACACATTTTAATTTATTATTATTAAGGTTGAGAGTAATTTAATTTCATAGATAGTTAAGGGCAATAATGTAATTCTAGGAACAATCTTGTGATGTAAATTTTTCTTCTAATTTCTATTTTCTTTATCATTAATTAAATAATATTTTCAATAATAATGATAAATATACTGTTGAAAATATCACTGATAATGCGAAGAAATTGTTAGAAGTGCTAAAAAATTGTTTTCTTTGTTGTTTCTTTGTCTTTTTTTTGTTTAAATAATTGAAGGAAGTTTTTGAAATAAATAAATAAAACAATTGCACATGACTTAGTTCTATAATTATTTAAGACTTATGCCTTAAATTATTATAGAACTTAAGACTTACGTCTTAAATTATTATACACATACACACGTAAATTAAAAACACACACACACACACACATACATGCATGCATGCACGCACTTGCTATTATATTGTGGTAATTTGTTTATTCTTAATTTTTCCTATTTTTGTAACATAAAACCACAAATATAAAGTGTAAAATGAGCAGTGTTAACAAGCAATAGATAAGCTAGGGATTGTGTCAGTTGAAAGTAGGAAGGTGAGATCTGATTTAATTGAACGAAGGCAAGCCATGGCTCGAATTAAGATTAAAATTTAGAAAAAAAATAATTGCGCGCACACACGCATTACGCACACAATACAAAAAACAAACATGTTTCAAACATGATACAAACATGATACAAACAAATACGAACATGACGTCCATGCTAGACGCTTTTTCAATTAAGCTTTTTTATCTAATTTCTATTTTCTTTATCATTAATTAAATGATATTTTCAATAATAATAATAAATATACATTTGAAAATATCACTGATAATATATATATATATATATATATATATATATATATATATATATATCCATGAACAAAACAAACTACATTTTATTCTCGTCGTCGCCTTAAATTTTATCTTTTTGAACAATCTTTTTAATAATGTCTATTTATTTATTTATTAAATATTGACTGGTTTCTAGTTTTTTTTTAATTTGGTTATATAATTTTTGAATATTTCTTGATTTACTTTGTATATATGCATGTATAAATAATTTCTGCTTCGGTCGGGTTCTTTGGTTGACTAGTTGATTGAATAAATGGTTGGTTGGTTGATTGGATGGTTAGATGGTTGGTTGATTGAATGAATCGTTGGTTGGTTGGTTGATTGGTTGGTTGGTTGGTTTGCTGATTGATTGATTGATCGATCGATCGATCGATTGATTTATTGATCTTATAGTATTGTATACATGAAAAAAATCCGATTAAGCCAACCTACTGCTTCAGTAAGCCACTGTTTTTCACCAGACTAAAACAATTTCTATATTTATATTGACAAAAATAATTGTGATATGAATAAATTAATTTATTTAAAGCATTATATGTACAAAAAACCGCTATCACAAGAGTTCTATGAAACCCTGTAAGCCACTGCAGTAAGCCAACTTATGATCTCAGCAACCAGTTTCTATGAGCACCAGCAGAATGTAAAATATTCATTGAATATAATGAAGATAGTTGTTCAAATACAATTTTGATTTATTTAGGCCGTTTATTTCATAAGCAAACAAATTTTTAACATGAACGAATAGTGTAAAAAAAATGGGTGACTATAGTTCAATCCTAGTAAGCCAACCGGCTTCAGTAAGCCACCGGATTTCACCGGACTAAAAGCAATTTTTATATTCAAATTAACAAAATAATTCAATAATACATAATTCTATTAAATAAAATTAAATAGAATTACTACAATGTTTTAAGCATATTAAGTCAAGTAAATATTTCATATAGCTTGCTCGTTAAAATCCATGCAATTTCGTAAGCCAACAATCCAAGCATGTCAAATAGCCCGACCGATTGATCGAATTGATCGATTAGTCCTATATTATTCTAGTTATGTGTTCCTGAGCCTGAAAATGTATAAATTGATGATGGGAGCATGGATATAGATGAATATGGATATTATATATTATATACATGGATTGGAGCCTTAATTAATTAGCAACGTTCGCCAGGAGTGACGAGACAATTTGTATATTCCGCTGTCGTTGTTCTGCTTTTGTTTTATCGCTAGTGGCGATGCCGATCTGTATTATAAGAAACCATTAGGATGTGATTGAAACAAATTCAGAGATTTAAATTTGAAAACTTGAAAATAAAGTTTCAACATGGCGCAAACGTTATCTAATTATGCTAAACAAATTGCCAGATTGAGTGCAAGAATATTTGGCGAGGTGGTCCGGCCGACACCGTCCCCCATGCTGAAAGTGGTGAAAATTTTTTCGGCAAAACCGTTGGACAAGCAGCCTGAATTTTACAATTATTACCCCAGACACGTCGAACTAACTTCACTTATGAAACGGCTGCGCTTTCTTGGACTCTACAGGTCTGCTGCCTGCTTAATTAATTAGTAGTTTTTAAAATAATTACAATTATAATCAGTGACGGATCTGCGTTCTAGGGGGGCCGTTGTGATCAATTTTTTAATTAAAGCCAGAAGAAGGATCGTTTTATGTGTAAAATCAACCCAAAAAGGTCAGTCACCATAAATCTTGCCCCTCCCTCCTGTGAAAATTTTGGTTTCCCCTATTAAATGTTTCTAGATACGCCACTAATTATAATTACCGATTAGTTAGTGAATTAATGATTGGTATCATTTTTAATACTAGTTTGTTTGTAGTGAATTAATTAATTTGAGAAGATAAAGTTAAAATAAATATTTCTCATTTATTTTGTTTGTCAATATATTACATATTTATTTAACTATTATGAATTATCATAAATTATGTGATTATTTTTGGTGTTTTTCATTTACATCTATGTTTCTAATAGTCTAATAGTCTTCTTATTGAATATTTATTGAAACTCTGAGGTCTAAAATGGAGTCTAAATCCTCAAAAATTTTTCTCACTGATTTGGGCTTTAATTGCATATTGCTAATCATTTAGTAGTGATTTATAACTTAATTTCAACTCATTGATTGCTTTTTTATAATAAACTGATTAATATTTTTCCAATATCAGAGATGAACACTTGGACTTTAAAGATGAAATGAAAAGGTTGAGAGCACTCAGAGGAAAGGTTAAACCAAAGAAAGGAGAGGGGAAGAGATCTCAGAAGAAAAAATAGTTTTTAATTATTCTTTGCATGAATCGTTGTTAATTTGGTTTTGTCTAGCAAAAAATATTAAGTCAAAATGTTATACATATACTATTGAAATATCTTGCATCGTTAATGAATATAAGGTTTCTACTCATAATAATTTTTTCAAAAATGAGCACTATACTACTGCTGTCACCAGCATTATTAATAACTCTGTTACTAATAATAGTGTTACAAATGATTCAAATGCAAACATTTTTTCATTTAAATAAAAAAAATTTGGTTAGGTTATTTCTCATTAAAGTTGAATAACCATCAATTTTATTTTGTTTGCTGTCCACCTTAATACAAATGTAAAATGCTGCTCATTCCTGGCGTTATATTAGTGATTTTTTGATATAAGCCAAATAGCAATTCACATTACACGCACAAAGTTCACGAGGAACTCATGCGATATCAATTTATAATGATGATTAACATACCTATATTTTGTGCCTATAAGTGTTAATACCTGTTAATTAATTAAACTCCGGTATTAATTAGGTATTATTAAATACATCGTGAATATGGCGCTCGTGTTTGTGTCTGTCTGTCTGTGTGTTATGTTCTACTGCATAGGTATCAATTACTTACTCATCACCTGTTTACACCGCTGGAGTAATCATTCTTTCTTCTTCCTTTTCATACATGCATTCAATCAATTTTTATTTCTTTTATTGTTATTCCCTTCGTTCGTTCGTTTGTTCATTCGTTCGTTCATTTGTTTGTCGGCTAATTTTTTTATTCGTTCGTAAATTAGGTTAGATAGTTTTGTCTGTTGTTCATCTATCTCATTATATATGCCTTTATTCATTTTCTTCTCTTTCACTCGCCATTTATGCGTCAGTCTATCTATCCCAATCATTTATTTATCCACTTTCTCGTTCATTCATCCATCCATCCATTATTAATCAGCATAATCGCACACGTGTACAAGTTTATTTTTACATAAATCACATACAAACGAACGTATGTGTGTGCATATATATATATATACATGTTTATATTATACAATATGTATATTATACAATATGTATGTATATATACAGATATATTGTGTGTTCTATATAAACTGCTTCTCGACAAATTTTCTTTCATGCTCAGCGTTTAGCACTGATTTTATGTAATGTTTGTTTGAATGAATGAATAAAATGATGATTAGATGGATGAATAAAATGATGGATCGAGAAATGCATGGATAAAAGAATTATAGAATGAGTGAGCCGAATTAGAAAGATTTATATAGCGAAGGGTGTAGTTATTAATTAAACAGTTTGTTGAATGGATAGAAAGATGAATGAAGTATTAATAAAAAAGAGAATGAATGAACGAATAAAGAGTGACTCCATCTATCTTATCATCTCATCACAATTTTCAAGAGAAAAATCAGATTAGCGTTGCGTTGAGATGAGATGAAATAAGCTTGATAATTTATATGTGCATGTATGTATGTGTATATAACACATGTACGTACATACACATAAGAAGCATACCTATATATTAACAGAGTTTTCGTTTGTTTATCCAGATTGAAGTGAACTAAATGTTTAGTGTTTGGTCAAATAAAACGTAAATATTAATAATTACATAAGTAAAATTTATAATAATGATTGCTGGAATAATATCATCAGCTGCAGCAATGGTAAATAATTTTGTGAAAAGTGCGTTTTTGTTGATTTTGCTAGCTCCAAATTCCTACCAAGGATTTAATCCATTGAGGAGTACCGATAACAAAGGTGAGTGCGAGTAAAACACACACACACGCACGCATATATAAGTTATTACAATTGTAATAGCCAAAGTTGTAAAAGGAATGAATAATGTAATTTCGAAAAAAAACGCTTCGAATCAGAATCGTGCCATCCGAAACAAATTAGTACAGCACGACAAAATTATGATTAAAATTATAACATCACCAACAAAAGCATCATCAACAAAAACATCATCAACAAAGACATCATCAACAAAAACATCATCAACAAAAACATCATCAGCATGAACACACACCACACCGGTTAGACCATTGACATCACAAGGATGATTAGCTGATTGGAATATAAATGAAGTCTCAAATACTTCATAGTAGTAGTAGCTGCTGTAGTAATAGTAGTAGTAAAAGTAGTGGCTGTAGTAGTAGTACTGTGAGTATTATTATTACTGTTGTTGTAGTAGTGGTGTAGCATTTGTAGTATTAGTAGTAGTAGAAGTAGCAGCAGTACTAGAAGTAGTAGTAATAGCAGCAGTAGTAGTAAAATAATGAAAATGACGACGCCCGCATGTTCCGAAATTGTATTTTATACTTAAGCTTGTTTAATGGTGAATTATTTTGCCGTTGGTTTTGCTATTTTTGGTGGCGTTTATATTGTTGCTGCTGTGTTGTTGATGTTGTTGTGTTTGTGTGGTTATAATTGAAATGTTTATAAGACAAAGACGGCTAGTCCTGTTATGTGCATGTTTTTATATATGTAAACATTGTAAGAAGTTACTTTTTGTTGTCTGGCTTGCACGTAATTTGTTAAATTCGTTGACTGTGTTGATTTAAAGACTCTACAGATGCAATCCATGCATCAATTAGTATATCATCACGTGATTAACAACGCAACACATACAACAACAGCATCGCATTAATGGCAGTACAATTTTTTGCTGTGTCTACTTATGCAATTAACAAAACAAGATCAATAATAACAACAACAAGATCGCAACAACAACAAGATCGCAACAACAACAACGATGTTCTTTTCAATCAAAAAAGTAAATTAGAGGGTGTGTCCGTATATTTAATACACATACACCCATACACACCCACGTATGTATAATGTATACATACATACATGGAGAGAGAGAGAGAAAGAGAAAGAAAGAACTGAAAAGAAAGTAGAAGAGAAAGAAATAGAACAGGATAATGAAGCATGACACGCAAACATACAACACACATACTTACGCATATATAAAAAGTATATATAATTTATACTTCTGAACTACCTCGTATTATTTTAATATTTTTTCATTTTTTTCTCACTAGTTTAGGGGTGGGCAAACTGCGGCCCGCGAGACTTTGTTCGCCATAAAAAAGGTTGGCAGCCAGACATTATGACCAAAAAAGAAACCACAAATCATAAAAAATTCATTCCCGGTGCTATTTATTCAAGTACATAGGCGGCCCTTCATAGGTAAAATAGTTCTCAATGCGGCCCTCACAGCAAAAAATTTGCCCACCCCTACTCTATTTTTACTTCTTTTCCTCCATCTAATCTCAATCGTCTTCTTCTTAATCTAGTTTTTCTTCAATTATCGCTTGGTCTGACTCTAGTTGTCTTAAACTTAATCCTTCTAAATTTGAATTAATTTGTTTTAATAAATATAAACGCTCTATTACTATTTCTTCTATTATCTTACCAGATTCTAAAACTCTTGATGTTTTTCACATGTTTCGTAGTCTAGGCTTTATCTTAGATTCTAGCATGTTTCTTTCTTCTCAGATTAATAGTGTTGCTAGAAGTTCTTATTTTCATCTACGTAGAATAAAAAACTTTTGCCTTTTCTTGACAATCCTACTCGTCTCCTTCTTGTTACTTTCTTAGTCTTATCCAATTGATTGATTATTGTATCTCGCTGTTGTATGGTCTTCCTGATTCTACACTCTGTCCTTTAAGTAAATCTTTTAACTCTGCTGCTCGTCTAGTTGCTCGTGAGAGAGCGAGAGCGAGAAAGGGAGAAAGGGAAGAAAGAGTATAATACTCACACACACATACACACGCACCACACACACACACACACACACACACACACACACACACACATAGAAAAGCATTTAAGCTGGAAACAGGCATTAGAAAATTTGTTGTTGGTATTTATACGTTGCTATGGCGATTTGAAGAACCAAGAATAAGAACCAAATACCATGAATATAATTTATTATTATTGTTATTACTTGTGGTTACTGTTGGTAGATTAAAACGTGATTATATTGGTGTCATTGAAACGTTATTTATTCCATAATAATTCCTATGGTGGTCCTTCACTTGATGATGATGATAGTGATTATGATGATGATGACGATGATGATGACGATGATGATGACGATAGTTGTTGTTGTTACTGGTAGTAGTAGCAGTAGTAGTAGCAGTAACAGTAGTAGTAGTAGGTGAATCTCGTGAGAATGATTGTATAGAGAGGGAGCAACAACTGACGCTGCATGTGATGATGAAGACGACGATGATGAAGACGGTGATGATGATGATGATCAGGAGAATGAAACACTCACGCTCTGATATGTTTTCGTTTTGTAATTTAATATCAAAGAAACCAAATTTTTTAATAACAGCAACGAATTATAATAAAAAGGATGAAGATGACGATAATAATAGTAATAATTATTATAATTATTATTAATTTTATTATTATTATTGACAGCTGACTTTTTTTATGCTCGTTTTCTGAGAACTTTCAGAATGGAGAGAATCTCGTTCGCGATGATAATGATGACGTTTCTAATTATTTTCGTCGTCGTTGTTGTTGTTGTTGATGATGATGATGGTGGTGATGATGATGGTAGTGATGATAATTTGTGTGTGTGTGTGCGTGTGTGTGTGTGTGTGCGTGTGTGTGTGTGTGAGAGCGCCTATTGTAAATAAACATTGACGCGTGTATGGTTGTTTGTGAGGTTTTGTTGCTTCACAGAACGATTGCTGTTTCTACTTCTCTCGTGAGAAATATTACGATGATGATGACGATTACGACGACGACGATGATGATGATGATTACGATGATACTGATGATGATACTGATGATGATACTGATGATGATACTGATGATGATACTGATGATGACGATGAAGTTAATGAGGAGGAGGAGGACGATGATGATGAGGATGTGTGAGATGATGATGACGTAGATAATAAAATTTCCGTTCGTGGTGGTAGTGGTCTTGTATATTCATGTATCAACAACATCAAACAACAACAACAACAACAGCAACATCAACAACATTAACAACAACAGCAACATCAACAACATCAACAACAACAGCAACATCAACAACAACAGCAAAAGCGACTAGGTAGGTAGGTAGGTAGGTAGGTAGGCAATGGCGCGTTAAATTGCGTTTTGTCATGTTGCGCTCGCGTTAATGTGATATATTTATATCGGCAGACACGTACAAACACACGCAATCGCAAACACACACACAAACAAACACACACACACACACACGGTTCTTAAGTATCTTGAAAGATGTTAGTTAATGGTTGTATACATTAAGCGATTATATAAATTTTTATTATCTAGAATTTATCAATGCCATCTTCATCATCGTTATCATCATCCTCATCATCTTCATCGTCATTTTCGTTGCTTTCATCATAACCATCATCATCAACACTAACACCAACAACGACATCATTATCATTACCTCTTCTTTCCTTTAGTTCCATTGAACAAAAGAGATTACAGGTTCCCCGCCACCAACTATAGTAAGTCTATTCACTCATTCATTCGTTCGTTCGTTCATTCATTCATTTGTTCATGCATTCATTCATTCATTCATTCATTCGTTCGTTCATTCATTCATTCATTCGTTCGCTCATTCATTCATTCATTCATTCATTCATTCATTCATTCATTCATTCATTCATTCATTCATTCATTCATTCATTCATTCACTCATTTATTGTCTCCAGATTTGGACCACCCTCGCATCATCCATTCTATCGACGATAAATTCGTGTTGCTAGGCAACAATGTCACTTTCCTCTGCCTGGCAACCGGTTACCAAGGACGTCACAACATCATCAACAACATCAACAACAGCATCATCAACAACAACATCAACAACAACATCAACAACAACATCAACAACAGCAATTTTGAGCATTTTGGCAGCAGGTTACTGAGATGGAGGATTGATGGCGAGGATGTTGACGACGGCATGGACGGAGTGCAGATTGTCAACATGCTTGTGGCCGAAGCTGGTGACGTCACTGATGATGACGTCAGTGAGGATGACGAGAAAAATGATGCTATCATTTATAATAATAATAACAACAACAACAACAATAACGATAATAATAGAGATAGTGTAGGTAACCGACAGGTCACTGTTCATTCGGCAATCAGAATCGATACGAATGTTCTATTCGGCGGTTATAAGGACGCTAATTCGAAACATTTCTACAACAACAACAATAATAATAATCCTGGAAACGATGATGTCATTTCATGGTTGGTGCAATGTTCGGTAGGCAGGGATAAAGACGACATGGGTGGTGCTGACGAGTCGACAGCTCATCTACACGTCTTCCAGAACCACAATGGTGGGTGGCTTTATCGTAGAGACGCACCAAATATTTGCCAGAAATTTTAATTCGACTGAGGTCATTTTAAAAGCCAAAATGTTGCAAATTTCGTTTAGGCCATCACTTCTTTGAATTCCAGAACAACGATTGCTGATTATTATTCTCGATAATTTGTTAATGTTATTACAGCATTCGTTGCTGCACTTACTACTGGTAGTTTGTCAGTTTGTGAGCAAATATGTAAGCATGCAATTGATGCTCAGATGTTTCTTTGTGATTGTTACGAGTTATTTGTTTGTGGTAATGGTGCTGATGGTTTTAAGATAGTGATGATGAAGAAGAAGACTATGATGGCGATGATTATTTAAATATGTAGATAATTAAGTAGCTGATGATTTATATTGAAAAAATGAGAATATTTAAATGAACAGCTATTACTGCTGCTACCACTACTACCACTACCACTACTACAATGATCGCATTATGTACGATAAGTCTTGAATGATTATACTGGGATGTGATGGTTGCATGACCAACTAAGCGACCTCATATTAATTAAGCAACACAGCTTTCATACATACATTTCATCCATGCGTTTTTTACAATCATTCTTTCATTCCTTTATTCACCCTTTTATTAATTCATCAACCCATCCATTCGTTCGTTCGTTCGTTCATGTGTTCCTTTCATTCGATACTTTTAATTTCGTAATTAAATCATCTGTATTGTCGTCATCATCATCATCATCATCATCATCGTCATCATCATCGTCATCATCATCATCATTTATAATCCCCGTCACTTTACATCAGGAGTCTTAAACATTAATCATAACATCGGATTATCTGCCTGCCTTGGTCCACCTCTTTATAACTTGACATCATTACCATCACCACTGACACTACCACCACTACTACTACCACCACTACTGCTGCTGCTGCTGCTGCTTTCAATACTACTACTACTTTCACTACTTTCAAGTTAATGCTGCCTCAATTTTTACAACCACTGCTTCTGCTTGCTGCTCCTACTTCTTTTTTTACAACGACGGCTACTGACTCCTGCTTCTACCACTATCGCCAATATTAATGACATGCTGCGTTCGCCACAACTGCGGCTGCGGCTGCTATCAACTCAGCCGTACGTGTAGAAACAAAGAGACAATGATTTCTCGATCCAAATGAATAACTACAAACAAGAATAATAAATAGTTGATAACAAAAATAAAAACAAAGGAATTAAATCCAAATAATGATAATAATAATGAACACTTGCAGCGCCATCTGGCCTCCCCCGCCTAATCCTCCAGCCAAGTATGAAGTCAGTGGAACGAAACAAACTCGTCGAACTCGTCTGCAAAGCTACCGGAAGTCAGCCTATTCAATATCGTTGGTACAAAAATTTATTTCCAGTTAAGGCGGGTAGCAACCAAAGATTAGAAACAACTCCGACAGGTTTGTACCGCTTCATCTTGTCCACACATCACGCGTTATAAATTAACAGGGCGGTCTTATGATGCAATTGCATTATTACAATTTAAAAAATCTTCTAGTGTTACTTGTTGTTCATGCTCTTTATAATGCTGCGTGTGAATGTTTCATTTCCATTCTCGAAGGTTCCCTCCTAATCCGCTCGAGTGAAAAGCTGGATGAAGGCAGGTACGTCTGTGAAGCTAGCAACCATGTTGGGGCCGTTTATTCCCACCAGGTTGACCTCTATGTTAAAGGTCAGATGGGCTTTATACGCGTCACACACACACGTTTTTGTATAGGTGTCTATTTCCATGCCCTACCATCATCCTATCATTCGTTGAGTTGAGAATTAAATTATTATTGTTGTAATTATAATTATATTATAATTATATTTTTATTATTTTTAGTAGCAGTAGTAGTAGTGCTGGCTGATTGTTTCAAATGAAATTGGTACTAATAGTACGAATGTACGAATGTGAGACTATTCAACCAGAAATATTTCCTTCATCATTTCTCTCTCTTTCTCTCTCTCTCTCTTTGTTTCTTTTTTTCTCTCTCTCTCACTTTGTTAATCTCTTTACTCTCTTTTTGTTAATCTCTCTCTCTCTTTTTCTATTTTATTCTTTCACATACATACAGATAATAGAGATACACACACACTCACACGCACACACACACACACACACACACACACATATATATATATATATATATATATATATATATATATATATATATATATATATATATATATATATATATGATTGCATATTACACATACATACACATATATACATACAAACGCTTATGTACACACACATAGAAGCATATACATACGTATATACAAACATTCATCTTTTTGTTTGCATATACGCGCATTTCAGCATTCAGGTTTTTTTCTTCTCACAACTTTACTAGGAATAATTGAAAAAATGTTACGCTAATATAAACAACAAACACATTCGTTCGTTCGTTCGTTCGTTCGTTCGTTCGTTCGTTCGTTCGTACGTTCATTCATTCGTTCATTCATTCGTTCATTCATTCATTCATTCATTCATTTTTTCTTTCATCCATCCACCCATCCATCCATCATAAATAATTGCCGATGCATCTTCTAACTAACGAAATTTTGACTGCTGTTGCTTTCCAGAACATCCATTATTGATATGTCGGTTGTCATCATCATCATCATCATCATCATCATAACCACGCCATCATCGTCGTCGTCATCATCACGGACATGTTGCCTTGGGTTATGTAGCGAAACCATGCCAAAAGACGCTTGAATATGCACACAGGCATTAAGATGAATCACATTAACTTACATCTTATCACGCGATTACATTAAATTATTTCATCATAATTAAATTACCTCATAATTAAATGACGTCATAATTGCATTACACCTTAATACGTATTATAAATTATACGGATATTTTCTCTACGTCTTGAACCAATTATGATACAAAAACATTCATTCATTCATTCATCCAATCATTCATCCATTCATTCATTCATTCATTCAACCATTTTTTCTTTCTTTCTTTTTTTCATTCCTCACACACACACATACGCACACACACACACACACACACAGACTGGTTTTTAGAATAATAACGATAATGGTGATGAGATGGAGAGGGGTTCATATTTATCGGCGAGATTAATTTCGGACTATTTCATTACATTATTATTTGTAGTATTGCTACCCTTATTATTATTATTATTATCATTATTATTTTTATTATTATTTATTTTTTCTTTATATGTTTGAATTAAACGTGAATGAAGGAACGAACGAACGAATGAAGGAAAGAAAGAACGAACGGATGGATGGATGGATGGATGACTGATTGAAAGAATGAATGAACTGATGAATGGATCAAACAAATTCGATGGTTAAACGAAAGAACGCATTGATGAATGGTCCATATTTTCTTAATGGTTATTTTAAGGAAAAGTTCACATCATCCATTTCCACTGTTGTTCTCATCACCATCATCATCGTCGTCATCACCATCATCATCGTCTTCGTCATCATCGCCATCATTCTCACCATCACTATCATTGTCATCATCATCATCATTTCTGTTTTCTTCATCACCGTATGATAATTCACATTTATGTAATATTCATTTAACGACTGCTGGCGATATATTCTTCTGAAGCCGGCCATTTTATAGCGTTGAGATGTCCACCAGAGCTCACGTGTGTGATCGTTAGGAGATTTTTTATTAAAAATTTCATTCACCATTCTTTCATGGCTAAAATTTTATATCTTCATCATCACCATCATCATCACCATCACCATCTTCACCATCATCATCACCATCATCATCACCATCATCACCATCATCATCAACATCATCATCGCCATCATCATCCGTTTCTTGGCCGGCCATCAAAGCTTTCATCAGCAGAGCATTGCGCGTTTCATTGTGTTTTAATAGTTAAGAATCGTTGTTTTGTTTCTGAGTTGATGATTTGAAGGGATGGGGAGAAGACCTCTCCTCCCCCTCACAACGTACTCCATACAACAGATCGCCGGATTCCACCGAATGTCGTCATTCATCCGGATTCAGTTGAAATCAATCCGGCAGATTCGACTAATATCTCGTGCACGGCCAGTGGATCCCCGCCTCCTACCATTAAATGGCTTCTTAACGAGGTGGAAGTCACCGACGATGTTTTGGTCGACAGTCTTGACCTTTCAAGAGTTCATCTACTTATCAGAAACGCTCAGCAATCTGCAACGTACAAATGTCTTGCCAGGTCGGAGTTGGGCAATGTTGAGAAGGAGGTCTTCGTCAATGTTAAAAGTTAGTTGGACATTTTAATTCTTCATTTCCACTTTCTGCTCCTTTCGATTGCGCGAATGTAATGAAATAAAGTTTTTCATATCAAATGAAGATTCAGTTTGAACGAAATTTTTCAATTCATTAAAAATAAATCCCAAGGTCCGCCAAGTCCGCCAACGAACTTGATGTTGCACGACGTCACAGCCACCTCGGCTCGCCTCACGTGGACCGCACCCGCCACCGCCCGCCACCACATCGTCCAGTACAAACCGAAGTACGACGACACCGTCCTCTACATGACCATCCACAACGTGGCCACTGCGGAGGTCGCCATCAACAGTTTGAAGCCCCACACCATGTACGACTTCCGTGTGGCTGCCGTCAACGAAGTTGGCCTCAGTCACTACAGCAACTCGTTCTATGGCACGACAGCAGAATCAGGTCAGCACCAATGATAACAACAATAACATTAATAATATTCTTCGTTTTATGTGAGGCCATGTTTGCTTCATCCTCCTACCATTCGTCCTTACTATCTCCAGATTCACCATCATCATAATTTTTTCCTCATCACTGCCATAACTATGATAATGATCATCACCATTACCTTCATCATCATTTTCACAATCATCATTTTCATCCACTAGCACCATCATCATCACCGGAGAATGTGAAAGCAAAATGTATCAGTTCCGGGAAGTTGGCCGTCTTCTGGGACGAACCAAAGACACCAAATGGTGTCATCCTGGTCTGTAATTATGAAATTATTCAAACTAACATTTTGTTTACAATTTTCTCATGAAAATTTCTCATCAGCAAGGAACAGGCAAGCACGCAAACAACGAATCACAGACACACTGCGTGCTAAAGGGCATGATATTTTTGCATTCTAACCGGGTCAATGCCGGCAGCAGCACTGCCAGGCATCTTAACCACCGCGCAACTAAATTATAATAATATTATAATATTATATGACGTCACGCAGGGCTACAAAATCCTGTACACTCAGGCGAACAACCCCGAACTGCCCCAGCACCTCTGGACTGTGCACTCGGTGGAGAACACGCGCCTAACTACGATTAGTAACTTACTGGATAGCAAGAAGTATTTGATATGCGTGCAGGCCTACAACGGCGTCGGTGATGGGCCACTGTCCATTCCTATTGCCGTTGTGACTAAAATCGGAGGTACTTTTCAAGTTTCCAACTGAGTTTTGTTCCTTCATTTTTTTTTAGAATTCATACGTTCCATTTATATTCACACATATGTTCATTAGTTATAATTCAATCTGCTGTTGTGTCGCTGTCACCCTGTTTGAATGCAAGCTGATCTTCAGTGTAGCTGGGAATGAATGATTCTATGCATTACGCTCATGCGTCCTTCAAATGGCAAACTATTTATTTATTTATTATTATTTTGCTTTATATTATTATTATTATTATTATGTTTGATTTTTATTTTAATTTAGTTTTGGAGACAGAAGGAATATTTGAAAGTTAGTGGACGGAAATTTTTTTGGAAGTTGTTAAATTTTTAATTCAGGCAACAAATTCATCCCTCCGCTGTATCAGTGCATCAGTTGAACTCATATTTATATGAAAATTTTGCTGGATAAAATGAACTTAGGCTGCCAGGTGGTGTAGTGGTTGAGTTGCCTGGCACTGGTCTGGATGCGAGTGGGATCGAATGCAAGAGATCTCCACCTACCGCATGCAATGTATGCGGTGTAGCGACTCACTTTCTTTCTGCTAACTTTGGAAATATTTTCTACGCGCAGAATAGCGAAATTGGATTTTAAATTGGTAATAATGAACTAATAAATGGGTTAATACATAGGATAAAAAATTCTGATTTCGATTTGAAAAATTCTTAAAACCGATGATTTCAAATATTATTATCTTATTTTTATTAATAATTCAAATTATAAACTGTTATATTGAAGGGAACTTTGGTAAGATATAATAATAATAATAATAATAACATTACAATTATTATTATTATTATTTGTGTTAGATTTTTTTATATTTTCTTTGTAACGTAATATCCCTGGGGTATAACGTTTGATGAAACAAGACAGCCATGTCTATTCTTGAAATAATAATATTACTTAAATTATTATTTTATCGAATAATAATAATAATCGCCATAATTATTATTATTATTGTTGTTGTTGTTTGTTATTATCGTTCCTGTAGTTGTTTTTATGTTAACTCTCTGAAGTTAAAATGTTGCAATGAATGATGGATCCACACATCAATCAATTCATTTCTTCACTCATTCCTTCATTCATTCATTCATTCACTCATTTATGCGTTCATTCATTCATTTGTTCGCTTATTCGTACATTCGCTCAATTACTCACTTATCCAATTTTTAGGTGGCCTATCAGTTCTTTTCATCCATCCATCTATTCATTTAACATTTATTCAATCTATCTCTAGATTGAATATTATATATATATATATAAATAATGTATATATACATATATATTATATGATATTCTTATATACACTCGTACATGAATACTTAAGTAGTATTTAAATACCTCCTCCGGCATTTAAACTACTTAATTAATTAAATAGCTGTATTCAGACGGCATTTAATAACCTTGGGATAGTAATTAACAAATTTTAATTACTTTGACGAAATGTTCAATTTCCGTCACCTCTTCTCTGCTGTGTAAAAATGAAATTGGGCTGTAAATCTTTTACTAACCGTGTAACTTGCATCAAATGAAGGTAGCCTGGTATTTAGACGATGTTTTAATTATTTGTAGACAGTATTTTAAAACTTATGGTATCTAAATACTATTTAAATATTGAATTTTGGAATTTTTACTGTGTATTTACAGAGTATTCAAATACTCAACTTTTGAGTAATATATGTATGTATATATATATATATATTTACATATTCTATAAATTCTACCGAATGTTTGGCGTTAACATATTAACGCCAAACATTCGGTAAAATTTATAGAATATTGTAAAAATTATGGTCTATTACCAACATATATATATATATATTATATATTATATATATATATATATATTATATATATAATATATATATATTATATATATATATATATATATAACCTAATGTGGCCTACTTCTGTTTTTTATGCTTCACTTTCAGCATTGTTTTATGCTGTCTTAATGGTCTTTCCATTTTATTTAGTAGTTCGTGTGTGTGTGTGCGTGTGCGTATTTATTCATATTTTTGTTCATGTGTGCATGGGAATCAGTATTAATTAACAAAAGCTATTTTTTTGCAGCATAAAATTTCAGTAAATTACATTTCACTTATTACAACAAATCACACTACGCTACTTACATTAATTGACATGACACTAATTGCATTAATCGACATTACGCTAATTACATTAATCGACATAACAATAATTGCACCCGCCCACCAGCCCCGCAACAGCCAACCAACTTTCAAGGAGAGGCAACTGGTCCAACCACGATCCAGCTAACATGGGATCCTACCAATAATTCTATTGGTATCTATTTTAATCATCGTAATAAAAAATTTTAATAATAATATCAATAATAATAATAAAAATAAAAGGTTATGAATTATACATCGTCGACTCACGCCTACGCAAGAACCAACGGATCTCCGTTAGCCAATCAGAACGGAGCTACCATTTGGATAATCTCGTCCCGGACACTACCTACCATATGAGATTGACAGCTCGTTACCTAAACACTGCAGAGATGGGCGGTCCAGGGAGGAACGATAATATGGAAGGTCCTAGTACTCCGATCATTCAAGTTACAACTCCGGATTTTGGTTAGTGAAAGAAATAATACTTTATTTTTCACTTCTTTAAAAGTAATTTTAGTGCGGTGTAGTGGCAACACAATTGCGCTAAAACAGCAAAGCGTATTCAAAAAACAAAAGCTAAACATCTAAAAACAGTCATGGTCGTTAAAAAATACTGAAAAACGTATCGCCGATACAATATCGACGATAGAGATACTTCAATATTAACAACCCTTACAACAAAAACATCAAAATCAACACTTGAGCAACATCGCCAGAAAACAAACACCACACAACAGTTCCAGAAGAGCCAGCCAAATTATCATTGAAAACCATCAACTCGACAAGCGTGTATGTTCAATGGAAACATCCAGCCAATCACCTTCAAGGGGTCATTAAGGGTTATAAGGTCTGGCCACTATCATCTTATTCATCATCCTCATCTTCATCATCCTCGTCTTCATCATCCTCGTCTTCATCATCACCACCACCACAACCATCTTTATAGATCACAGCAACCCCACTAAATTCATCCCTACCCACAATTACGAAAGAAACATCTGACGTAACGGAAGCAATTGTAACTGGATTGAAACACGAAACTACTTATCAATTTCATGTTGTGGCTTTCACTAAGAAAGGTGATGGAACTGTCGGGAAGATGAAGAAAGTTAAAACTAAAGGAGAGGGTAAGATATGATAATGATGGTGTGAATGTGATGATGATGACAGCCATCATAATCATCACCAGTACCAGCACCTCCACAAAACATGAAAGTATCGATAAAGGAGGACTACACGGCTCTCGTTACATGGAGCAAACCGCCGATCAGCTTGGATGGCTACAAAATCGCGTACTCCGTGGCGGGAGATAGTGATGTTGAGGAGAGGAGAGTTGACGGTGATAAGACCATGTTCATCACGGCCTCCCTACGTTAGTCATCTGCTCATTGGTTATATCAGGGGTAGGTCAGGGTGGGCAAAATTTTGGTGGTCCACGAGGCCTTGTTCGCCAAAAAAGGGTCGTCAGCCACCAGATATTATGACCAAAAAAAGAGCCACAAATCTTAAAAAATTTCTCACTCGAATCGAAAAAATTTGCTGTTTAAGTATATGTGCGGCCCTACAAAAGTAAAATTAAAATAGTTCTCGGTGGGGTCCTCACAGCAAAAAGTTTTCCCACCCCAGGGTTATGTTTATGTTATATGATGTAAATGTTTCAACCAATCAAAATCGCCGTAACAAAACTCACAAAAACTTTGAACTAATCAGAGAAAGGATCAGATTATGAATTCAGAGTATCGGCCAGGAATAAAGTTGATTACGGAGAGCCATCTATCGTCAGCGTTAAAACCCCTGATGCAAGTTTGTGACGCTGTAATGCATAAATGTATTCACATTTGATCCGATAAAATCTTGATTAATTGAATGTGACGCAATTTAATTAAACTTATAAAGAGCCAATAGGGTCACCGCTCAACTTTACGGCCGTCTGGGTCGGCGGGTCATCCTTGAAGTTGTCATGGCAACCACCTCATAAACAGGACAGGAACGGAAAAATAGTGATGTACCAGGTGCAGTATCAGAAGAGAACCAACATGAGAGACGATTTCTTCCTGAACACCACACATCAGTCTATGCAAATAAGTAAGGGATTGGTATTTTGTTTGCGTGGGGTGCTTACATTTTTTCTTTCTGTTGTTTTTTGCAGTTGTTGACAAAATTGTGTTCACGAGTCTCACATAATTTTGTTGCAAATTATTCATATTTTACTTGAATACTCAATCACTGCTTAGTTTAAAAATAAATAATTACGATTTCTAAAAATAGATGGCCTCGACCCGAACAGCGACTACTTTTTCCAGATAAGGGCCTACTCGAGCAAGGGTCCCGGGCCGTGGAGCATCAAGTTGCCATTCAGGACCTTGACTGGATGTAAGTTCAGTTGGATGGCCCTCTAACTATTATTATTTTCAGTCGGTGTAGTTGTAACCCAAATAATATCAATGGCCATCCTTCCTAATCACCAGCCTACCTACCTCCACCATCCAACCTGCAAGTCCAACAACTATCGCCATCATCGATGGACATTTCGTGGGACCCTCTAGATTTAGGCGGGAATAATAACTTTGGCGGGAATAATAATTATGGCGGGCATAATAATCTTGGTGGTTATTTGAGGTATCAGTTGTTCTACAGCATGTTCGCGCTGGATGATGTTGACGAGTGGACCAAGTTGGTATTAACGAATGAATGAATGAATGAATGATGAATGAATGAATGAATGATAAAAGAATAAATTTGATATGTTAATTCAGTTGTTTAGTTAATTGTTTGATTGGTTTATGCTACGTTGTTTGATGCTGTTTATTTGCACCCAACTCATCAAAGAACTGAGACTGACTCGACACGAGCGATAATAGAGGGCTTGGAACCAAATAATGGTTATGCATTCAGAGTTCGCGCCATCACTAACGACGGCCTGATTGGCAATCTATCTGAAGTCGTATATTCAAATAAGTTGGAACAGGGTTAGTACCATTAATTATGCAAATTTATTCATAAAAGTGCGAAATATTTAGTTCATTTGCATTTGTCAAACTATGCACAACTATGCACGCGTCTGCAGATCATCCTGACGCCGTGCAAGAATTTAAAGTGAAATCCCAAACAAGTAGGTCTCTAACCTTGGAGTGGAAACCCCCGAGAAAGCCAGGGGTCTACAAATATAACGTTGGTTCCCACTTCTGTTTACATTAGGAATCACTGCAATTAATATAATGATAATAACGACCCCCTCTTCTGCCACCTCACGTCCCAGATCTTGTTCGAAGGCCGCAAAACTTTCAAAAACTCGCTGGACCAACTCGAAACTTTCATCGACCCACAAAGGGACGCAAAAGTATCGAAAGAGGACCGACAACTACTTCTGGATTCCCTGGTACCGAATACTCTCTACTTTGTTAACATCTCTACTAAATTTATTGACGGTAAGACAGGCCCATCACTGCAACTGAGAGCCGAAACCTACGTGGACGGTGATTGGCTGATTTGATTTTCTCGTTATTACCAATTATTCATTTCAGTTTAATACATTTATGAATATTCATTAACTTTTTCAAAACCCATGAATCATGCATGAAATTAAGTGATGCATTAATATACAACGTGGAAATATTTTAGCTCCTCCCCCCTTTGAAAGGCCCCACCTCATACATATCCTGTCCGACTCTGTTGTCACGGTGAGGTTATACGGAGCCTCAGAGAAGCACGGACCAATCACGCACTATCACGTCATTGTTGTCCTGGATACTGGGGAACAAAGAACCCCTGATGACTATACTCCCGAAGAGGTGATGATGATGATGATGTTGTGATGACGATGATGGGGATGGGGTGATGATTAAAAGATAAATTTCGATTAAATAACCAGTTGAGAAATAAAGGATCACCATCCTCATCATCGAGCAAGTCCGCCTGGATTGCCGCAGTATTTGAAAAGAGTGTTCCGGCAGAAATGAAATTAGGAGATGGACAGAAAGTAGGGATGGGCGGTTTTATAAATCGGCCACTGAAAGCTGAAGAATTGTACAGAGTGTTTGTCAGGGCTTTCGTCTCTAACAACGTTAGTTTAGTATTGATGACGATGATTGTTGTGATGATGATGATGAAAACGACAACGATGATGAGTGTGATGAAGAAGAAGAAGATGACGATAAAGATGATTGTCAACGCTGTTAGCATAAATACACATCACCATCAACACATCACCATCAACATCATGGTCTCCGCAGAAGTACAGATCGTCACCATTCTCCCACCTCATCTCAACTAACCACCAAACTATGATGGGCATTGCAATGATGCCAGAAAACATCAACAACAACATCATCAACAACAACAACAACAACAACAAATACTCAATTGATTTGTTGTACATAGTTGCTCCAATATGTGGGGCTGTTGTTCTCATACTGCTCTGTATACTCTTGACACTCTTCATTAGGTTGGGATGATGATAATGATGTTGTTGGTGATAGTAATGATGTTGGTGATGGTAATGATGTTGGTGCTGATGATGATGATGACTGAAGGTCATAGGAGGTCAGAAGTATTTGTATGGACAACCAATCATTCATTCATTCTTCATCAGTATAACTACTTTTGATTTTGACATCATCACCACCACCACCATCGTCGTCATCGTCACCATCGTCGTCAGGCGAAGAACTTCCGCCAACAACAACAACAACAAAACATCAACAACTCAGCAACACATTTCAGACGCTAACAAATCACTACTACGCAACAACAACAAAGCTGTGACGTCACCATCATCACTGACGTCATCTTCGTCGTCGTCATCACCACGAGATCCGGTCGAGTTGAGGAGGATGCACTTCCTGACACCAGGTTGAACGACGATGTTGACGTTAATTACTGATGATGATGATGGTGGTGGTGATGATGATGATGGTGATGATGATGATGGTGATGATGATGGTGGTGATGATGATGATGGTGATGATGATGGTGGTGATGATGATGATGGTGATGATGATGATGGTGGTGATGATGATGGTGGTGATGATGATGATGGTGATGATGATGATAGTGATGATGATGGTGGTGATGATGATAACAGCTATGTCCAGTCACCCACCAATCGCGATCAGTGAATTTGCTAGTCACGTGAACAGGATGAAGTTAAACGGTGGTCATCTTTTCTCATTGGTCAGTTATTTGTGGGCATTTGAATGTATGATATTAACATGGCAACCAAACGATCAACTATGCCTAATGGTATTTTACTTATAATATTCATTCTACGTCTCCTTCACTGTTTCTTGCGTATGAATAATTTTACTCTACTTTGACTTACAGTTTCGTAATCCATTTTGCTTAGTTCTTGTGAAATTCTTTCTGCATCTACTTCCATTCTACTTCGCTTGTACTTTTCGACTCGCCATACAGTCGCTGAAACAGTTCAAGACGATGCGCCAAATATTTGAATAAATATAACTAAATTGTTATTTTTAGGAAAAACCATTTTAACTTCAGTTTTACTTGCGGAGAATTCATTCTAATTTAATTTTATTTCTACATTTCAAAATCGAAATCAATACTTTTATCTAATCATTTTACATTCATTTTTATTTATTCTTGAGTAAAATATCACTGCAATTATGTCTTTACTGGACATCTCATGAATAAATTAGCATAAATTATGATTCACTAACGGACCAATCACAGGAGTATGAGAGCATTGACCCCGCCCAGCAATTTACCTGGGAGTCATCTTCAATGGAGTGCAACAAACACAAAAATAGATATGCTAATGTTGTGGCCTACGATGTCTCTAGAGTTATTTTGAAGTTAGTTAACCACCGACATCATCGGCATCACCACCACCATCGTCACCACCACCACCATCATCACCATCATCATCGTCAGACCGATAGATGGAGTGGCCGACAGCGACTACATCAACGCCAACTACATGGACGGCTACAAAAAACATAACGCCTACATTGCTACACAGGTGGTCATGATGATGATGATGAAGTTTTTGTTATTGGTGATGATGATGATGAAGGCGGTGATGATGTTGATGATGATGTTAGGGCCCACTTCCGGAAACATTTGACGATTTTTGGCGAATGGTCTGGCAGGAAGGAAGTGACGTCATTGTTATGGTCACCAAGCTTGAGGAAAGAAATAGGGTTGGTTGAATTTCATGTTTTTATTACATTACTGTCTCAGTTTTTATTGGTTTGTGTTTTAAAGTCTTGATATGCTTTCATTGTTTGTTATTCAACGCCATTTATGCGCAAATCGTCTAACCAATCAACTTCATTCTCACAAATCTTTCAGCCATTCTTATCCATTTGCGTAAATCATTCGACCAATCACATTACTCAACATAAATCATTCAGCTAATCAAATTCATTTCCACAAATCTTCCAACCAATGATAGATCAAATGCAACCAGTACTGGCCAATGAGAGGTTCTGAAATGTTCGGAGATATCGAGGTTGTACTCATGGAGTCTGTTGAACTGGCTCACTACACAATAAGAACGCTACACATTACTAAGGTGCCCACAATGATGATGATGATGTGATGTTTTACACCTAGTCAGCGTTTAATTGGAAGTAAATTAGAATCTTTAAATGCTAAACTTCTTTGAAAGCGAATGTCGCAATCTAATGTTTTATTTTAACTAGGAAAATCTAATTTTTTTTTGCCACAAACAGCTTATTCGAGTGTTTATAATGGGATGGATTGGGGATTGATACAACTCAGGTATAAAATGAAGGTAATAACAATAACGTAATTTTTTATTTCAACCAATCACAGACGAGCAATTCAAATCCAGCCGAGCCAATAGGAAGAAGGGAAATCAAACACTACCAATACACGTCGTGGCCCGATCATGGCATCCCGGATGAATGCACGACCTTCATAATGTTCGTCGAAAAGGTCAAATCTCATCATCACCATCTTCAACAACAACATCACGTGTCGTCTGGAGGACCTGTTGTCGTTCATTGCAGGTTAGTGGATGGATGGATGAATGAATGAATATATGGATGGATAGACGTTATTGTTTGCCTGGTAATTTAGATTAATAAAGCAATTGAGTAGATGATTTATTCAACTAGTAGTGAATGAAGGAATAGATACAAAATGAACGAACGAACGAACAAACGAATGAATGAATGAATGAATGAATGAATGAATGAATGAATGAATGAATGAATGAATGAATGAATGAATGAATGAATGAACCGTTCGTGAAAATAGTGCAGGAGTAGGAAGAACGGGCGTATACATCGTCGTTGATTCCATGATCGAGAGAATAAACGACCACACCAACAGCAGCAGCAGCAGCAGCGCCACAATAGACATATATGGCCATACAACATGTCTCAGGTCGCAGCGTAACTACACAGTGCAAACTGAAGATCAGTACATTTTTATACACGAGGTATTGAGGGAGTACCTAAGCATGATACCTCGCACTGAGGTCCAGGCCAGGCATCTCTACAGTCACTTGCAGGCTCTATTGACCAAACGCGTCTCTGGTGTCGGTGCTGATGTTACAGATTTGCAGCTGGAGTTTCGAGTGAGTGAGTTTAGGGAATGGAAATTTGTTTAAATATTTTCTGTTCTTTTTCGTTCGTTCATTCGTTTTTTCGTTCATTCATTTGTTTGTTCGTTCGTTCGTTCATTCATTTGTTTGTTCGTTCGTTCGTTCATTTATTTGTTTGTCTATTCATAAATCCATCTATTCATTCATCCGTCGCCAGAAACTGAACCAAATAAAACTGAGCAACAACTTATGCAAGACAACAAGTTCACTTTTAGTCTGCAACAAACATAAGAACAGATCGGTTCATATACTGCCATGTAAGTTTGTTTGTTTGTTTGTTTGCTTGCTTTGATGTACCAATATATGTTCAACCATAAGTTAAATAAAATATTAGGTTGGTTCGAAAAGAATGTTACTTAATTTTGTTCATAGTTATGTTAACTTTTTCAAATTTTTGGCAATTTTTTTAAAATTCTGCCCCCCTTAAATATTCAGACGAATCATCGCGTGTATGTTTGCTGCCAATCAGAGGCGTTGAAGGTTCGGATTACATCAATGCAAACTTCGTTGACGTTTGTGGCTTCATTTCTTTCATTTATTATCATCAAATTTTTGTCTCTGAGTTACAAATAAATTTATTATCATTATGATTATCAATGGACGAGCTAACGCAGACGGTCGGCGCACTGTCATTCGCATAGTTATTGCCCACTGACCTGGATCGAATGCCGTCTGCCTTAGGAAACTGAAAACCTAACACACTCCAAACCTCACGTCTCTATGCCTTTCTACTTTGTGTTTTTTTCATGTTGTCAGAAGGTTATATATAAAAAAGGTAACATACACACACATCCCTACTGACTGCCAGGGTTATCGCAACAAAAGATCATATATAGCAACTCAAGGTCCAATGCTTGAGACGACGGAAGATTTCTGGCGCATGATCTGGGAGCACAACTCCACTATCATCGTCGTACTCACTAAAATTAGGGAGATAGGCAGAGTTAGTGGATAGATGGATGGATGAATGAATGAGGAAATTGATGAATGAGTGAATGGATAGATGGATGATGAATGAGTTAATAAGTAAATAAGTGGATGGTTATATATTAGAGTGAAATATATATTTCGTGGCTGGCTGGATAGATGATCAATGTTATCGCCATCATAGTTTTATCTAGTGTCATCTTCATTATCATCAACAACAACATCATCATCCTCATCAACAACAACATCATCATCATCATCTTTGCTATCATCATAATCAGGATCAGTACCATCAGTATTGGCCTGGTGACAGATCGGCCCGTTATCAATATTATGTGGTGGACCCGATGGCCGAGTACAACATGCCCCAATACATTTTGAGAGAGTTCAAGGTCACCGATGCCAGGGTTAGTGCCCTTGTCTCATTTTAACTGTTCACTGGTCTGATGAAAACATCCCGCTTCAACAATTAACATAATTCGCTAATCGATACCAACACGGACAAATAAAAAAGGACGGCCAATCACGAACTATCCGTCAATTCCAATTCACTGATTGGCCAGAAGTCGGAGTGCCCCAGAGTGGAGAGGTCTTCATTGATTTCATTGGTCAGGTGCACAAGACCAAGGAACAATTCGGACAGGATGGACCAATCACTGTTCATTGCTGGTCGGTTGTTGTTGATTGGTTGGCTGTTTGTTCGATTTGTTAAAATGTGATTTATTGCTACCATTAACGTCATCATTGCCCTCATCACCTTCGTCATCGTTAACCTACCGATCAACCAACCAACCAACCAACCAACCAATCAACCAACTAACCAACCAACCAAACAACCAAACAGCACAGGAACGGGTCGAACGGGGGTCTTTATATGTTTGAGTTACGTTCTTGATAGGATGAGAATGGAGGGAGTCGTTGACATCTTCACAACTGTCAAGCTACTCAGACAACAACGAATTGCCATGGTTGCCAACGAGGTTTGTTGCTAATATATTTTATAGTACTCCAAAATTTTTGAATTTCGATAAATTCGCTTCACTTTAAATATTAAATTATGAAATATCTGATTGAACATTTTGTTGATTCAGGAGCAGTATGCATTCTCTTACAGATCTGCTCTCGAGTACTTGGGTTCATTTGATCATTATGCCACTTAAATACGCACATGCACTGTTGTTCACTTTTTAAAATCATTTGTTTTAGCATCTTATTTTATTTTTTACTTTGAATACGTCGTTCTACATGAATTTAAAAAATTTTCAGATGATTTTGAAATGATTTTTGCGAATTTGTTATAATTTTGGTATTTTTGCGAATTTGTTATAATTTTGGTAATTTTTTATCGAATTTTTAAAATAATTGTTGAACTTTATATTATATATGATGCGAATTTGTAGCTTATTAGTTTGGAAATTAAGCATACCTATACATAGTTTTTGTTCGTTTTTCGTGTGTTTCTCTCGTGTGTTTCTCGTTAAATGTTTCATTTTTATCTCTTTCTATTTTGTGTTTTTTATTAAATTTTTGTTTGTCTAAATTTATAACATTTCAAAACGTTCAAATAAATGACCAGGTGATGTGTGGTGGTTAAAGTTTAGTGGTATTTATATTGACACTGGCTGATTCAGACAACTTTGGCGAAAACTGAAAATATTATAATTAGAAAAAGGAAAATGCCAAATTATTAATGTTCATGTTAATAAACTTAAAATTTCCGAAATCTCAAATTGGATTTCAGGCTTTTCAAGTTTCCTTCCCGGTTCTTCCATCTACATTTTCACATTCAAAAAATAACTCGAACTAAAGTTCTAGTTCCTTTACACATAATGATAACTATTCGGTCGATTCAAGATACTATATACCAAAAACGTCTTGATTTCCACCACTAAATTATACATTTTTCTGCTCAGTAGATTGTGTACTATTATAGTCTACATGAATCTGGAAACAACTACCAGCTTGCTTCACTAGATCAGCGCCACATTCCCTAAAATTGTTTAATTAAAGTGCGTAGATCATAATGGCAACTACTCGTGTTTAAAAACTGAATTTTACTGACTTTCATTAGCAGCATTACTCGCAACGACCCCTCCTATATTTCGTCACTGAACACTGGTAACATATACAAAGGCATGAGTATATGGCACAAATACTTCTTCTTTCTCGTGCCATATCCTTTCAGGACATTGGCGACCATCGACCTTCACAAAACCCCATCTTTAACACTTTGTAGCAGTTGGAATGGGGTGATAACATCTGCTTCAACATCTAAAAATAGGTGGTCTGTTCTATCTAAACTTCTACATAAAAAATCTTCTCACTCATCTTTCTCTGCTCAACAGTTTCATGACTTTTTTGTAAATAAAATTACTTCTTTAAGAACATCTAATTCTAATTTTCCTTCTCATAACTTTACTAAACTTACTACTGAATCTTTCTCTGTATTTACTCCAATAAATCTTTTAGAACTAACTAAAATTATTAATTCTATGTCGTCTACAACCTGTTCTCTAGATCTACTTCCTTCTAATTTACTTAAAGAATTCTCTTCAATATTTTATCCAATCATTCTCAAATTAGTTAATTTATCTCTTTCCACCTCTAAATTTCCTACTTCTTATAAGAATTCTCATGTTATTCCTATTCTTAAAAACACATCCCTAGATCCTACCTCTTTATCTAATTATAGACCTGTAACTAATATTACTTTCATCTCTAAAATAATAGAAAAAGTTGTTTTTAATCAACTCTCATCCTATTTAGACTTTAGCTCTTTGCTACCTGTATCTCAATCTGGTTTCAGACCTGCTCACAGTACTGAAACTTCTTTACTTAAAATACACAATGATATCCTTCTCTCTAGTGACAATAGTAATCTTACTCTTCTTCTTGCTCTTGACTTTTCTTCAGCTTTTGA